GTTAAGTTCTCTTATATTTCATCATTATAATAATTAAAGGCTATACATTAACTTTTATGTACACATAGAAATAATGATGTTATTTCCTTCAATTTTTTGTAAATGCATCCAGTCCATACGAACATGTCAGATAATTATGTAGCAATATGTGCAAATATATACATTTCAATATTAACATCTATAAATGCGGATAATCATTTGAAATACAAACATTTTACTGTGTAATTTGAACTAGATAGTTTATCTATTTTTTAAATATTTTTTGACGTCTTCTGGATTATTATAATAAAACACCCAGATATGGATATTTGGTGAAACACTTCAGCAAAATACATGAAATTCTACTGTATCCAGCTTGTGGAGGATAGACACATACCTGATAGAAAAATTGTCCCTTAAAGAATGGTTCTGGTTAATACTGCACTTTTACTGTGTGTGTGTGTGTGTGTGTATGTTCATGGGAGCATATGTATATGTACACTACTTTGTAATATTGATGTCTATTTATTTATTTGATGGGAGAAGAGGTAAATCACATGTTTGCCACAGTGTGTGTGTGTGTGTGTGTGTGTGTGTGTGTGTGTGTGTGGGACAGAGTGCAAGTTACATGATGGGTGGGTTATGAGGGCCAATTTCCTGAAAGTACATCTACAAGCTGACGTACTTCTACATTGTTGTTAGACCAAAGGAATAAATTACCAGTATTCCTTTGCCTTAACCACATCATGTTCTATTCAATCTCTCTTTGGATAGAACACCTTCCCAAGAACATAGTTTCTTGGTTAATATGACTTATTCCCAAACACACTGTTTCCTGATTAATATGACTTTCCTAATGTACTGCCAAAAAATGTGTAGAAAGGATCCACCTTGTATTGGAAGTTATGGCAATCATACAAGAACGTTGTAGGTGTTTCATTCTCTAATGTAAATTCTGCCAGACATAATTCCTTCCACAAGTGTAGTTAAGAATGTATTAAACTTTCAAAATGAAAATCCAAATAACAGCTGTTAGTAACTAACATTTCCATTAAAAGTTATATGTTAGAAGTGAAATAGAAGATAACATCCAATTAAATCGCCCATGCTCTTCATAAATATGGAGTCAATTCCTAAATGATATGAAGAAGTCTTTTTAGTCATACGTGTGAAACAACTTACAAGTTCCATTAACTAAAAAGATCAAAAATTTCTTTCTAGTTGAAACAAAGAGAAAATACTAGAGTGTTCATTCATTGTGTGACTGATTTAGACATTGCTAAATTAATAAAATAGAAGTACCAGCTTTGACTATTATTAAAATATATGAGACTTCTATCATTCCACTTCTGCTGTTCTAAATGTGAAATAAGGTCCAAAATAAAAATAAACACAACCATCCCCCACAAACACAATAAAAATAAGAACCATGATGTTTTGTTTCTATTGTTGGTTCGCACCCAATAAAATAAATTTTCACACAACAAATGCTTTAATCTACTCAGCAATGTCCCTACACATTTATGTACCACAGTTAGATTTATGGGCTATCAAACAAACAAACAAACAAAAAAAAAACATGAGGTTAGGAAGTAGACAAGTTGGGAGGATATGGGGGGACTGGAGGATTGAAATGTGGGACAGAAATGAGGGAAGATACATATTTTATTATGTATACAAAATTCTGAGGAATAAACAAAATAAAAAATATCTGGAATAAAAAAATTCCAGATAGTGACATTTACACTGGGGGAGACATTTTATGATAGTGAGTGTTCCTGTATAATGTCTTGGTCAGGCTCTGGAGAATCCATACTTTCCACCACTTTGCATTTGGAATGTGGCTGTAAGACCTGCTCTAAGAGTGCTAAATTTAGGTATCATTACATTAGCATGTTAGCGCTCCCATGGAAAGGGTTATAAGTGAAAAGAGGCTCCCCTCCCTGCACAACGCTTGCCATGCTTTACTGATGAGCATAATGGTGGTTCCAGTAAGAGAACTGAAGTAACTCCTGAAGACAAATCTCTGTCAGGATTTTTAAAACCACAGAAGAGTTATTACATTCCATTTGTTCTCTCTCATTCTCTCTCTCTCTCTCTCTCTCTCTCTCTCTCTCTCTCTCTCTCTCTCTCTCTGTCTCTCTTCTATCTATCATTGTCTATCTATTAGACATCTGCTTTTCATACTTCCACTCTATCACCCATTTATATATCATCCACCTTATCTACCAATATCTATCACAAATCTACCATCTTTATAACTTTTCATTAATCAGCCACAACCTACCATTAGTTTATCTACTTACCTATCTAAATATCTATATCTAGCCATCTTTCTAATCAAAGTTTCATCATTAAAATTTTTACAGGTAGCTTTGCCAGTTTTTCATAGCTAATCAAACCCCCTTCTGTATGTAACCAAATAATTCTAAGGCTTTGTTTTCTCCTGGATGCAATATAAGAAATACATACATATTCTACATCTTTCAAAGAATCACAATTTTTTAAAGTGCACATTTAATTCTATATTACATTTAAATGTGCATTTATGTGAACAGAAAAAGGATAAAACTAACCATCAATTCATTGAAGCTTCTGTCTTGCAGCCAGGTAATGATCCAGCAATACTTCCAGAGAGAACAAGTCACAGCCAACATTTACTGATGTCCCACTTGTATGTACTCTTTAAAGTAACCCTGATTTCAACTGATTCTTTCTGGCAATTATCAAATTGTCATGTTGCACATAACTTTTATTTCAGAGTTTTAAGAATTTGCTAAAACATAGTGGCTGATATCTTTCATGCATTCTAGAACCATTGTAGAAAGTAATATATGTTTCATAGTATACCAGAGGAAAGATTACTACATAGGAAAAGACATTAAAATTATCTAGCTCACTTGGTGAGTGTATAATAGACAGGACATTGTATTTAATAAGCTGTGTATGCAAAGGAACAAAGTAAAATGCAAAAGTGATGCCACTCCATGCAAGGTGACATTCAGAAGGGGTTCACATCCATGTTCTGGTTATCAAGTCAAGCAAAGCAACACAGAATTGAAAAACATAATTTCATATCAATTTGAGTTATAATCTGGGTACCCAGATATCATAATGCATTTTTTATTTTAATTGTACACATAAGCCTAATAATGCTCTCCCAGTTACATAAACCAGTTCAAATAGTGTTTCATGTACTTAAAAGGTGTGATACAGGAAAACCACATTTTCCATCTCAGAAAATTATACTACCTTATATGACTATTTCCTTATTAGAATTATTGGTTTTGTTTACCCTGAAGTTTGGTTCATTGCTTTTAAACTGATATTACCATCTGCTTCTCTAAAACATTACTTCATTCATTATTGCAAGAAATAGTTTGCTTATAACTTATACTTTAAATCTCACTTTTGAAAATCTCTAATTATATGAGACATTGTTTTAGCATTTAAATAGTTTCTATTAAGCACATATAATACTGTATTACACTGCACTACAGAATACTTCAGTTGATCTGGTGAAAAATTTGGTGACAGAATATAGACACATGCTGCTCATTTCTATCCAAGCTCTTACGTGATGAAGCAGCCTGCTATTTGATCTTCACTATCTTTCATAATATCTGTTGAAACTGGCATTCACCATTTTCATAGTTACACATAGCCGTTCCTCACTTGACACAGCACTGCTTGTGCAATAGATCACTTTGAGAATCAGAGAATATAAATTATATTTTGCCAAATGCAGGAGATTTTTCTAATCATATTAAGAACATGGAAGATAGGTAATTCTTGTTATTTCATAGAAATCACAAAAGGAAGCCAAGTGAAGATTCTGTCCTACATCACAGAAGTTGTCACTTTTCTTTGATATCATAAAATTCATATCTTTTCAGACTACATGATGTATGCATATTATGAAAAATATGCTTAGAAATCTCTTGTGTTTACCACAGATCAGAAATGACAACAAATCTCAACAAAAGACAAAGTTTTCAAAAATCTATAATTCATTATATTTCCATCAAAGCATTGATCAGACCAATTATTATAAACTTATTTTCTGCAGTTGGTGACTTTCATTATGCCACTTTTAAATAAAATGGTCTCTGAGAATTTCACCCAGTGGCTAAATTTTACAACATTCTAGAGACATTATAAAAAACAATCAAGCCTGTTTTGACGATCATTGTGCTTACAAGAAATGACTTAAAATGAACTGTGACATTGATTCTGCAATGGAAAGGCACAGCAACAATTATTTTGGTAAATCAATGCATTTTCTTATTATTTCAAACCTAAAAATGCCAAATTTTGCCTTTAGCAGACTTTCTCAATTTCATAAAGTTTCAACATTAATTTATGTTATTCAATTACAGCCAAGAGGTATATACATATAGAAGGTTTCTATTAATAAGAGCTATATGCATTTTCAGGAATGTCTGCTACCAGGTAAAATTCTTACATTAACTCTAACTCATGAATCCCAATGACATATAAAACATATTTCAAATCTACTGTCACATTCTTATAACTGCAAAAAGAAATTCAAATTATGAATAATGGGCCTTTTACATTTTCAAATAATTCTGACTCAATAGTTAACAAAAGTTATGAGAAAACTGGAAGACCATTTTGAATTCAAACAAATAAGAGTACAAATGTCATTTTTATAAAAGGGGGAATTCAAAGCCACCACAAAGAACTAACATGGTTTGAACTTTGATTTTATGGTAACAATAATAATCCAAAAGCAAATTTAAGGACTATTAAAATAGCTTGGTGAGTATCAGCAATTTTAAAAAGTCAAATAAGAAGCAAGCACTACTTGTTTTTGTCCTGAGCAGAGGGATACATATATATCTTTAATACTATAGAACATATTACCTGCTGCCAAATATTGAAAGAGAGCAGAATAGCCCAGAATAAATAGTTGCGAGGAGAAAAGCAGTGTCTATGCTATATTATAAGAAAACAAGAACTGTGAAGCTTCTCTTTCCCAGCAAATAAATAACGCTTACCTTGTTAAGCAATGGAACTGAGTTAGCCTCGCTCAGCAGGCGATTCGATTCTGCTGTTGCTTCTGCCTCATTCCTTCTCTTCCCTTTTCATAGTGTCTTCCCAGCGGAATCTTCATGCATCTCACTGTGCCTCTCTTTCAGCACCACTTTTAACTCAGACAGGCAGGAATCTGAAAGCAAAGGAACTCTCTGATTGGCTTCCATTCCGCGTTTCTGATTAATAAGAAACGTTGCTCATATAAGAAGATATTGCAGCTGATGGCGCTGCAGGGCTCCAGGTTTAGGATGGGCTGTGCAGACCCCTTTGGGCAGGACGATTTGCAAGTGAATGAAGTGGGAGGGTTGGGGGGAGGATTTGTCAAAGACCCTCAAAAGAGAAAATAACCCAGTGTTTTTAGTCTCAGTTAATCAGCTCTGTTTAATCTGTTTGCAGTTGGGAAAGAAAGGTCACAGCATGTCTCTAACCCGTAAATCATCTGCCGAATATGTATATCACGTGGAGCTTGCTGCTGTTCAAGGATTCTGCGAGTACTCCTTGCACAATGCCCTGTTCCCTACTTCAAGGCAATGCCAAAATTCCAGTCTCAGAAACGAAAGAGAAAGAATACTGAACATGTTCATCATTGATAATCACAAAATTTCATCAGTCTCTTTAGCTTATTACATAAAATCAGCTCTCAAAAAAAAAGGTAATTTTAGATTGTCTAATAATTGACTTCTTGGCATGTTCTTTTTCGGGAGAAGGAACAATGTCACATCGTTTGAAATTTCTAGAGCACTCATTGTTTTACTTAATTAGACAATTGAGACTGTTTGTACTTCCTGGGGAATGTTCAAACATAATAGTGACCCCAGACACCTCACAAAACTACAGGAGCCCTCTGTGGGAGTCTCTGAGATATGTTGCAGGACTCTAAGCGAAAGTAAACTGGCAGAGTAAAACTGGTTCAGAAGGGAGGTCTCTTTACTGCTGCTGGAAATGGCACAATAAGAACAGTATTGATGAGTAGATAAATTCTTCCACAAAGAAGTTTTAGTAATAGTTGTATGAAATGCACAGTGGGAGCATGGCTCACTTTATCACAGCTCCTTAAGTCACAGTAAGTAAATAGCTTAAGTGCCCCCAAAATATCAATATCCTATTTGATGCTTCAAAGAAAAACAGATAACAGAAAACAACAACAACAACAACAACAAAAACTTTCCACATTTTTCTTCCAATAGCGAAGCTCATGTCATCAACCGAATGTTCATGATAAAGACGCCTATCCAGTTCTCGTACCGTGTGAAAATGTATGTCTCCAAAACCAATACTCATTCTTGGGCAAATGTAATTCTGTGTGTATATACAGTTACTGTCACACTATAAGCTTGCAGTGGGTGAACTAAAATAGTGATATAGAATTTAGGCAACAAAGTAAGGCTTGGCATCTTTTTGTCTGAAAACGAGATCGGGTAAAATTATTACAGATTTCAGGAGTTCCATAGATCGAGGTGCTTAAGGCATTGTAATGAGTTCTTCATGAGCATTGCCATTTTCTAGAGGGAAAAAAAGATTTAAAACTCAAAGCTGCTTTGAGAATTATTTCAGCCAGTCTACATGTTACTTCAAATAAAATCACATTTACAGAGAACACTTTGCTAATACAGAGATAAACTATCTTGTACAAGTAGAGGAAAGCAAATTAAACCAAATAATTCACCATAGTTTATGGTAAATATTCACAGGTTAAAGCTTTAAATCCCTTATGTTGTGCACAGTTAACTCCCCACTGGAACATTGCTATAAGGGAAAAACTGTTGTGTGAGAAATACACTATCCAACAGAGTATTCTATAACCTAATTTAGAGCTATTTTTACTAATCATAGAAAACAGAGAAAGAAAGTGTCACCAGGTTAAAAACAAAACCCAAAAAGGTAAATACCCTGAAAAGAGTTTAACTTGGAATTATCCAAAAATATGTATCAAATGCATAACTGGATGTCTTCAAATATAATTAGTAATCTGCATCATAATAAGGAGATGTGAGCAAATGCCTACTTTTCCCAGACATGGCACAGAGCAAAGTAACAGTTGTAGGAAGTCTACCTTAGAGGGACAGTATGTTTCAATATGGTTGCTTATAGGAACATGGATGTAAGGGAACCTTTGGGGAACCTGTAGCTATGCCTGCTTAGGGGCTGGCTAAAGGCTCCCCTACACATGGACAACCTATGGGTAATTTTACCATTGAAGACAAAAACAAAGAAAAAAACTCTTAGCCTTAAATGTCTACTTATGATTAAAGAGAGATGTGTAATCTAAAGCCAATCCCTAACAACTCTAAACTCTGTATAAATCCTGGGATGGGGCCAAGCCCCATGAGTCATCCATTCCTTCTTCTGGAAACTAACTGGCCACTAATCCTTAAAAAGGGGTGGTGCTTAAAGAGCATGTTCCCAGCTCCTAAGATTGTCACACTGATGGGTTGATTGCCCTGAGCTTGTGCAATCCTTTTGTTAACCACAGCTGTAAACTGTTCAGGAGAGCAAAGGCTACATCATGTCCAAAGGATAACATTCCAAAGAATCTTGTACAGCACATATGAAACATTTCTAATTCTTTTTCTCTTTTAAGTTACTGAGGATCATATGAATACCTGACCTTATAAGTGCTAAGCAAGTATATAGCATCTAAGCTACAACATACCTCTAGACTGCCTTTTTCTTTCTTTTTTTTTTTTTTTCAAGACAGAATTTCATTGTGTAGCTCTGGCTGCCCTGAGATTCTTTTTGTAGATCAGACTGGTCTCGAACTCATAGATCTGCCTGCCTATGCCTCCCTAGTGCTGAGAGCTAGAATTAAAGGCTTGTGAAACCAAGCCCTCCCAGACTTGATTTTAATGCTTGAGGAAATGGATGTAAATAGCAAATGGGTTTTCACTGAAGTGTTACTTTCCTTATTGTTTTTTTCTGTAGAAATTGTAGTTCTTATGTGTATTTACAATTCAAATTCATTAGTAGAAATGTAAAATAATAGGTGAAAATGTGTTTTTCAACTTAACTACAGCTTAAGCTTTCTCTTTTGATTTTTATTGATAGATTGATTACTCTTCAAGAACAGCCACTAAATGAGTTTTTACTGGTGAGTCATTTCAGGATTTCTGGTTTCTGTGAAAGAAATCCCACAGATAGTCACCAATGGTCCAAATGGCACTTAGTCCAACACGAAGTCGGCAGTTAATGGAAAATCAGGATGATAATTCTATTTGTTATTTTTAGTTACCTAAGTCAATTGTTTTCTTATGGTCAACTTCATAAATCAATAAAGGTTTTATTCTTCTTTATTTCCTTTATTGAAAATAGATTCTATTCTCACACAATGTTTCTTGGTTATAGTTACTCCTCCTGCTACACTTCCCAGTTCCTTCCCTCTGGATCTGTTCACTTTCGGTCTCTAATTAGAAAAGAACAGACTTCTAAGAGATAAAAAACAAAATACAAATTAGTGCCTTATTCAGTTATCATCAGAGAGGCTTCCTCTGGCACCAGATAGGGACAGATGCAGAGACCAGAAACGGCACATTATTCGGAGAAAGGGTATACATTGGAGGTCTCCCTCCCCTCAGAGCTCAGGGAATTTCATGGAATACAAGGTAGCAAGATCCTATGAGTTCAAGGGAATGGAGGATACCTTATGAACAAGACCTCCTGCAGCAACAAAGCAAGGCACATATGAGCTCACAGATACTAAAGTAGCAAGACCATGGCCCACAAGGATCTGCACATGTCCTCTGTGTATATATTACAGCTATTATCTTAATATTTTTATGGGTCTCCTGAGTGTGAAATGAGTGGTTCTCTAACTATTGTGCCTGCTCTTGTGATTCTTTTTCTCCTGTTGGGTTGCCTTGTACAACTTCTCTACATTATTTTTTTCTTCATCATGTAAACTTTCTTAATTATTACTTTGTATTTAAGTGGTAGCATTCACTGCAGAAATATATTTTCTGGGTTTTCTTCCCTCTTTTCTTTTTCATCCTGGCAATCCTCATTCATTTATTGCTAATGGAAACTTTAGGGGGGTTCACTTCATACAGAAAACTCATACTTTGCATTGTCTTATTAGAAATACTACTATACTATATGAAAACATCGCCTTGAAAGATTAAAAATGTGATATAGACACAATTCTAACTTACTTATTTGACTGAAATAGGAAATTTTACAAATGAGTTAATAGAGTAAGCTATAACTCATTGAGAATTTAGCACACAATTGTTCCCACACTGAAGACTTAGGTACATATAAGCATGAGCATAGGGTCATAGGAGAGACAGAATATCCTCTTGCTGACTTCCCTCATGCCTCATAAAAGATTATTGGAATTTGTGATAGTTATCTGTTCCTGATAAGACATGCTTACTACCTGCCAGTAGAAATCAAGTGCTTGAGCTAGCAGAATTGCTCAGTGGGGAAAGGCTATTTCCAATAAGATTGACTACCTGAGTTTTATGCTCAGTAAGCACATATCCACATGGTGGAAGTCTCTGACCTTCACACTAGTACCAAATAAATTTGAGCTTTACCATCTCCTATTATGTTTTGTCCACAATATATCCTTCCTTGGTTATCTAAAAGTCATTTGTTAAAGAAATGGCAGTTAGCTGTTGTTGGCTCTAACTCAACATTCACTAGCTGGCAGCTGGAGTGAGATAGCTCAGCAGTTAAGAGAACCGAGAACCGGCTGCACTTCCAGAGGTCCTGATTTCAATTCCCAGCAACCACATGGTGGCTCACAGCCATCTATAATAAGATACGATGCCCTCTTCTGGCATGCAGGTATTCATTCAGAGCACTCATATATAAAACATAAATAAATAAAAATTAAAATAATATTAACTATCTGTTTTACCTGATACAACACTTTCTCATTTGCTTTTTCCATTTTTCTGTTAGGAATTCTTAACCACAAAGAATTAGATAAATTAAGTATTTTCATTCAAGCTTCTGATAGACTCATGTTCTGTGTATTGATTGTGTTTCATCAGTAAACTTGTAAATTTAACAATTAAATTCCAAAAACAATTTAAAGACTTTATTCCACAGCCTCAGTAGAAGTGGCCCTGCCAAATAGAAAAACTGGCCAAGAACTGTGAATGGATGTCCTTTGAATACCTTAGAATTAACTCTGTCTGAGTTGGTGATTTGGTTTATTCAAGGTATTTGATAATATAGTATTTTGTTTTTTCATTTTTATTTAAATTAGAAACAATATTGTTTTACATGTCAATCCCAGTTCCCTCTCCCTCCACTTCTCCCCTGCCCCCACTAACAGGCTACCTATCCCATATACTTTCTGCTCCCCATGGAGGGTGAGGCCTTCCATTTGGGGATCTTCAGGTTCTGTCATATACTTTGGGATAGGGCCTAGACCCTCCCTCATCTAGCCTGAGCATGTATCCCTCTATGTGGAATGGGCTCCCACAGACCATTCCTATGTTAGGGATAAGTACTAATGTACTATAAGAGGTCCCATAGATTTCTGAGGTCTTCTC